AAAAAATTATCAAATATAATATATAAACATTATTATTTTACAATTTAGTAGAATAAAAATTTTATTGACTTATCCCATTCCAAAAWTATTATAAAGTTTATGTTAAACAGAAAAAGTTGTAAATAAATTTCACTAAGTATATTMAATTATTTTAAAAGTAAACTAGTGAGTGTTAAGAATAAATGTGAAAGTATAGTTTTCATTGTTTTATTGCGTATAGTCTATTCTAAGTATAAGATAGCTGTTTATCAATAATAACTAAGAATGCATTTAAAAATATTTTACCCTAGGCTGCGTAAAAACCTTGAAAATTCATAGGGTTGAGGTTTATGATTTGCAAATTTCGGGAGTGGACTTGCAAATTCTTGCTAATTATAACGAGTGTTTTGACGCTGGTTTCGAATGTTTCGGATAACAAGTAAGGGCTGCGCGAAGTTAACGCTTCTTTGCTTCCACCCCTAATAATTAGTTTATTATTGACTGCAAATTCTGGGATTGGACTTGCTAATTACTTGCAACATTTTTTAACTTGTTTTAAATAAGAATAAGGGCCAACTTCATGGACGTATTTTTCCATGTAACTCAATAAATTTTTTTTAGCTATTATTAGTACTGGACTATTTATTTAAATTTTTATAACTAAATGAAAATTATTCTTGATTAAATCTTAATTTTACTGTATTATSTTTTKTGGTTAAATTTATGGGCCCACCCAGAAAAATATTCCTGGATCTGCGCCTGGGATATAATATATTATAATAACAATAACATTTAATATCATATTTTTATTATAATATATACGTTCATGACATCGTAGATATGATTGTCTAAACAGTGATAGACGATATATATAGGCAATAACAGGTATGATTGGATTTCTTATGTAGGTACCTATACATACGTTTTTGGTATAAAAACGTCACGCGTGTTGCACATAAAATATATTATGGCCGCTTCAGGAAGTTAAATATTTTACTTTTTTAATAGCTATATAAACATTCACTGGTATACGCATGTGTAACTTGAAATTCTGTATGCTATCATGTACGTACCTACGTGCGTTACCTACTATATAAATGCTGCTACATAAACGCATGTATGTATAATGTTTGTGTTTATAATGTGTATATATATATATGACCAACGAGTGATGTACAATAAATGTGTAGTTATTTCAATCATACGGCTCAGTACCTAAATCAAAACGAATACGATGTGTGCTCGTCTGTCTTCTGTAGTTAGAAGTTATTTATTGCTCGAATGCAATGACTTGTTATACCTAGCTCACGGGCTTAAATGGAACGGCACAAGTTTCTTTAGATATACCAATTCAAAGTTTATTTCCTCGACTGAATTATTTTTGCTGTAGTCATTTAGAAATGAGGACATACATTGATTTATTTTATGGTTTGATTGCAATTGACATAATATCTACCTTGGAGAACTAACGAAACAAATTATCAAACCAATGTTAAGTGTGTATACGCTCGTGTGCACGAAAAACAGAAAAATAGAAGTAAAGAACACTTCACAAAAACTTTAAAAACTGTTTGTAAACAATGGAGTTAGACAATTAGACTAAACAAATATTATAACATTACTAGGTCATTAGGTACATATAAATTCATACGTACTAGTATACATAAATTTAAGTTCAAAAGTTATTTCCATAGTACTAAAGAATACATAAATTTATTTTGGTTTAACATAATATTTTACCCTTGTCTTGACTCAGTTGACTTTTGATGAGCTCGAGCTTATTTTTTTTTATGTAAATGTGGCTAGTGGGTCATTTTAAATATATATACTACCTACCTATTATAGTGGTATTTGATTATCTCGTGAATATTCAGTTTTTAAAGAATATTTAGATTGACAACATTTATAAGATACTAAAATTGTGATATCATTTAAATACAAAACTTTATTATTATTGAATGAGTCATAGATATTAGGTTATATTAGGATATACCTACCATAACAGTTATTTTATTTATATACAGGGTGTAAGTATAACGATACCTATTATTTGACAAATATAGAAATATTTGTAATGGCAATTTGTTAAATAGTCCTGTTACACTTTATATACATATACCAACCCTTAAGTTGCCACTTATGGAATACTTTCCTTTTTTTCGAGTCTACGAATTTATTAATTGCCAATAATTTACTTATTGTATATGACTTGTAGGTATCTTCAGATTACCAGATTTCCGGAAACTTTCGATTTAATGAGGTTGTAATAATATAAAAAATTAAAAAATCATGTTTATAAATAATCCTAATCGTATTGCTTTAAAATATTATATTTAATTCCGTAGTCCGTAGTAGGATCATGCAAAAAGTCTGATGATCTGCAACAGGACCATCACGTAGAATATAGAAAAAAATAATTTTTATTAAAACACCGCTTAGTCGGCTGGAAACCTGAAGGTTTATAATAATAATTTTACCATTATTATTTTATATATCACGTGCACTATTCAAAAAGGAAGTTTACCCCTGMACGACATAAAATACCTTTAAAACACCACCTGGTTACCTGGGTGGTCATCATTTCGATAAGAGCATTAGACGGCATTATATTTTAGACCATCAACAGCTTATAAATATCAGCTAGCCAACACCGATCGTATATATGTATATATATGTAGTAAAATAATATAACGACGTGTTAAAGACCGAGCTCGGTGCGTCATATAAATATATACGTATATAATAAGTCTCGTTACAACCATACGTGTATTTTATATATATAAACGTATAATAATGTGTATACATACCTACGCATAAATATAATTCCCACAGGTCGTTCAGATATAATCCCCAGTATGCCGTACGCCACACAGTATATCCGGACTCCGGACATGCTGTATTGCTGTTCAAGAAAACCTTTATTCAAATACCCTAAGGACCGGATAAAAGATACTATACCTAGTACCTACTACTAACTAGATACCTGGAGCTTTGTATCTAGATGCTAGATAATGAAATATTATATTATATTTATTAGATATCATAAGTATCGTTGCGCTTTTATGATGCATTTCAAGTAAAGCTGGTAGGTATCTAAATATTGAATATATAGATACTCGACAACTTACCGGTATATATCTCCGGATACTTCTCAAATGTTTTCAATAAAATGTCATTTTTCTCGATCGAATTTATCGGTTTTTTTTTACAAGGAATTTTGTAACGAGTTTGTGCATGATGGTTTTCCCAAGTGAGCATTTTATATAATTAATGATAATTGATATTTTATGGAGTAAAAAAATTATAATTATATAATATTATAATAAATTTTAAATTTATAAAAGTTTGATAATAGGTACAGCAATACGAAATTCAGAAATCCGTTAATAATAAAACTTGTGACATTTGAGTTGTGGCATAAGTTTATCTTGTACTTATAATTTTATTGTACATAGCGGCTATATAGGCACGGTGAGAAATTGCTCTTCTATACCCGTGTAGAAGGTAATACTAAACGAAAAAAAGAAACGATGCGTTTTAAAAAAGCATTCTGCAGCTTAACATAATTAATTCACTTCTATCTCACGCCACCGSCCGAGTATATTATTATATTACATAAAACAACAAAATAATATGCACATGGGTATTTTAAACGATCCATTGTCGAAAAACGATTCGGAGGTTTTACCCCGTCGATATAATTTATTGTATAAATACCTATMTAAACCGTTATTGATAATAATAAATTATTGAGTATAGTGACCAGGCCGGTCTGTACAATGTATTATAGAAAAAAGGCAATATACTGCGCTGCAGTAAAATTTCGTCCATGGCGAAACATTAAGCGAACATTAAATATTTTATCCTATACACACGTCTCGGCTATTACTTACACGGGTAAATTAACGATCGATGACTGTCAAGGTATCTATAAATTTCGTCTGAATACCTAAATCACGTTTAGCAAATCCGTCTGAATAAAGCAAGCCCGTCCATTRGTGCTTGCGAAAATTGATCAGGCTTTGCGATTGTTATACATATCGCCAATATACAAAACATCGTGTACACACGCATAACGTTGACAAAGCGACTGA